TTGTGCTGCGCGGAATCTCCTGTCCTTTAGCTTTCAGCTTTTCATACATGATGCTAGCCCCTGCGGCTGCATGACTAAACCGAACAAAGCAGGAGTCAGCCTCAGTATCTCTCTTCTAAGTGACGCGAAGGCAGTGACTGACCTGATACTCTCGACCCAACTAGTGGCCGAATGGATAAACATGTGTCGTTGTAAAAACGTCATACACTCAAATTCTTCTGACGTTAGTTTCACATGCGCCAATGGCTCGAGCAGCAAGGCTTCACAGAAATTCACTGTGGACGAGGAGTGTTTCAGACTCGGTTCATCGGCCTCGGTAGTCAAGAGGTTGAGTGGGAAAAACTGATCAGGCCTCATGGCCAGCGATGGTAGCTGAGTCGAGGCGGTAATGTGAGTCAGACAGTTGGCTGTCGCGGTCATTCGGGTATATTTTTTTTCTGATCTCTGCCTTGTCAATCGCTACTTCCCGACAGTCATTCCTGTCAGCTTTACTTTTTTTTTTCATCGGCAAGACAGACCAACTTACTTCACATAGGTCGCCAGGGGTGACGAGGCCGAGGCCGAGTCTGCCGTACTGAAACAACCAGTTTCGGTTCGGGATGAAGCTGATCAGCTGCATGACGAACTGCAACGAGCGCTTTGCGTGGGGCAGTTGAGTGATGAAAAAGAGTGAAGGATGAGCTTACATTTTCGAAGCGAAAAATGATCGAGCACCCATTTTTTTTTTTTTTTTTTTTTTTTTTTTGATTCCAGTCCGTGAGGCAAAGATTAGAGATGATTAGAGTCTGACCAGATGGGCAGAGTGGATGAGCGAAGAAATGGCCTTACGGACGTCCCAGGGCACAATTTCCACATCGTCTAGCAAACCTTCTTCTTCTAGTTCGCTGTAGGATTCCCACCAGTAACCATCGTTTTTGATCTGAAAGAAGCGTTTGGCTTTGATCTCTTCGGTCCAACGGTCCTATAGAAAAAAGAATCCGGAAAAAAAGACGGAGAAGGCCAAGATCAGATCTATGATTCCGAGTTCGAGTATGTGGGGTGGACTCCGAGGTTTTTCTTACACTATAAAGGAGACAATGTTCGGGCAATTCCTCTATTGCAATCACTTTCCGGATATTTTTGAGCTTCAAAATTGCGTCGATTAAGGCGGGATGACCTGCGTAGCAAAAGTCAGATCATCAGTAGTTTCGATGGGACTCGACAAAAAGTTAATCGCCGATGAGACTCCTCAAAGAGTGATAGTTCGTTCATGGACTTATTGAACCAGTTTGTCTACCCCTCCTTCGCTCCAGCAGGCGTTATTTCACACTTCAAGGGTTAACCAAACGCTTACCCGAGTAAGCCACCACAACCGTGGCGTCGACGAGTTGATCCAACTTCCACAGATCCTTCACCATTGAAGTTGCCAACGCCTCGTCAGCCACACTGGGTCGATCAAACAAGGCCTTCCGCACCGCCAGCGATCCTGGAGGAAGGAGCGCTCGTGTGATGGGATGGCGCTCAGCCTTGGTCTTCTTGCCCTTTTGAGGACCGTCCAACTCGAGCTTCTTTCGCCATTTTTCAAACCCGAGGATCTCCTTCATCTGACGCACGTTCTTGCTATAAATTCGCCCATGTGGGTCATCCAGCGCGAGGGAGTTGAGGATTGAGGTACGATAGGCATCCATGGTCGAGAGAGTTGAATGTTGAATGGCGGCCAAGAAAGTGCTCTGAGGGCTACTTTCGTGCATTTCTGGTCGGGATGTGTTGGGTGTAGAAAGAGGAGGTACCTTCGAGCTTAATATGGAGTCAAAGGCGGCTGAGAGGTTTTGAGCCGAGTATGACTCTGAATGCACCCGCCCGCTGAAATCGTTTGCCCGGTCTGACTCTTCCGCCTCCAGGTCCACAAAGCCAAGGAGAGGCAACGCTGAAGATTGTTCAGGGACAGATGTGGCAGCGCTTTCCGCTTTAGGTTTAAGTGCTCGCACTCGAGGCTTGGATGGCTTTTGAGCTTTCGCCGTCGCTCGTCCACCGGCCCGAAGAACTGATGTCAATCTCATCTGGGTTGGAGATGAGTATATATGAATGAGCGTTCCGGGTGAGGTAGAGCCTTGATAATTCGTAGGACTTGTGTGTCGGTATATTTGAACAGCCAGCTTACGTTGATCTCGGAGGGTTGTAGTGGTGAAAATAGTTAGGCGGTGCGTGATCACTGATGAGGGAAGCTTTTTTTTTTTTTTTTTCTTTTTTTCTTTTCAAAATTCATTGTATTTATTTACTGTACTACAGTAAAATACATCTTAGTTAGGGTAGTGTATACACCTGTCACGTGAAGACGACTATCTGTATGCCTTGGATTTTAAATTTATGTATGTAAAGATGCAGTTCCAGGGTAAATCATGCCAAGCTTCCTGGGACATTCATCTCATAATGGCACTTATAGGTAAATATTTGAATCAGAGTCTCAAGCCTTGGACAAATTTAGACACCTTCATGTTGAGTTGATGACACCAAAAATGCACTGTACATACTGCTTTACTGTTCTTTTATCCCCTGATCATAAGGTAGGGTGTCACCCAAACGGTTCACTCAGTTCCCCTTTTAAGTCATGTACATATTACATGGCCGCCCAGCTGTACCCTGTTGTGCCAAGGTAGCAACCGGATTTTGAAAGGTACGGTGCAGTACATAACTCAAATGGGCACATAGCCTTAAGTGCTGCGTTTCACCCAATTTCCATGTTCTGTCCCCGGAAAATTCACTCGCTTTCTCTTAATTTCCCTCTGCACCTTTGCCTCTCATTTTAACGTGGTACCCTTGCGTTTGACTCGATCTTCAACATACCAACCTACATCCCTACTCTCATCATCAGCACCGATGGCCGGTGTAAATCGTCGCCACGGGTTTTACGTCCTCGTCATGATCATCGGCTGGTGGGTCTGCGTCTGCTTGCCCATTCCTTCTCTTTTTGCCTCTTCGACTGACATTGATTTGATCTGTCCCACAGGGTCCTTCCGCCTATCGCTGTCCTGCTTCGATTCGGATTTGGGACTGACTTCTTCCTCAACTGTCTACTCACCATTGCCGGCTATATACCTGGGTCAGTCTCACTCATTCTCTCACTCTGATCGACAGCTTTTCACCCCGAGTATGTGTGATGAGAGCGAAATTTTGTTGATTGCTTCTTTTGTCCTACCTAATCCCCCCATTCTTACCCTTCGTGATGTTTCGTCCTTCTTCTTCTCTTTTTTTCACACCCGACAGCCATGGACACAACTTGTGCGCCCACACACCTTCTTCATTCTCTCTGTCTATAGATCTCATTCCCTCTCTCTCTCTCTCTCTTAAAACATATCCTAACCACCGCCTTCGAACCTAAATAGTTACCTCCAAAACATCCGTAATAACTCGAACAGGAAACGAACCCCGGCCTGGGCTACCAAGGCAGGCTTGATCAAGGACCCTAGTGCGAAACGAAAACAAAAGACTCAATGGGCGAACCGCTATGACGAACGCACACCGACGCGGGCGGATGGTTACCAGGATGAGGAAGTCGTCAGGCCCGACTCGCTCTCATCCTCGAGTACTACCACCGGCCCACTGGAGGCTCGCGATCTCGAAGTGTCATCATCATCCCGAGATCGGCCGAGGCCTCACCGCCAACAGTCTCACGAATCATTCTATTCGACCGGTCATGGTAGCACGATCGGTGGAACAGGCAATGGTTCACCGAAGCTACGTAAATCGTTGAGCGCAAAGTTTATGCGTGGGTTGGGGAAGAAGCCGGAAAAGAAAGACAGGTCAGGTCACCCTGTTTTTGACGGCAATTTAAGGTCACGGTTTTTTTTTTCTGACTGACAAGTGTTGGTTGGTACAGGTTTTCACGGTCAAAAGAGGCGAGGGATGAGTGGAATAACACGATTGCTGGCAGCATCTATGACCATGACCAGCATTCGAATAGGCGGGTACAGGCAGTGGGAGGTGATGGACTGGACCACACCTTTTAAAGTTTCAATCTCTTGTCCGTCTCTAAAGCTTTACATCATCGCCCCACTTGATGTTGCCCTCTTATCTCTATCTCTCACATATCTTTATCCAAAGATGAAAACATATAGTCTCTTCTATGTCTTTTGCTTCCTCATCAGTCTGCTCCTGTTCTTTTTTCTAGACTCTTGCTATGTACATGTATGCGCCTTTGTGTTTCTCATCTCGTCGGAGTCTATGGTATTCCTGCTCTCTTTTTTGTTTATTTAGCTGCGCTTGTTTTTTATATAGGTGGTGTATTATAACAATTGTATGATAAACAGGACAAAAGCTTGGTGGTGTGAGAAAGCATTAGAATAGCTGATTATTGCAGGTCAGGTCAAGACTTTGCTGGAGAGCTTGATTGTCTCTGCCTTGCCACTGGGCTTGTGCGGGCTGTGTGCGTATGATAAGGCACTAGAAGAGTGGTGGGTGCGGCCATACCTGGTTTTTCTAGGCAACTTTCTCTCTGAGCTCTAACCAAAACTTCGGTCTGGGTCACAAAAGCAGTCCGAAGTGGACCTTTGTATTATTTCCAAAAGGCTGTATCATGATGATTGTTACAACTTGTCAGAACACAGTGTCATACAGCCCCTCTGGAGCGTCTCAATGTTCGTGTTAGTCACTTTTGCACCGGCGCACTTTTGGGTACTTCAGCCCAAACTGTGACTGCCATTACTGAGAGATTTTTGGTATGACCACTTGGAAACAAAGGTAATACCAATATTTGTTCATTTGAGTCTTCAAAACAAGGGTATATACTTTTACACTATTGATTCAGAGAAATTTTTTGATCAAACCGCCTTTATCCCCTCTTTCCATACCATCAGCTTTTTTGAGGGAAAAAAAAAAGTTTTTGGGAAGTTTTAGCAGAGCCATATACATGGTGCAAAATTCTTAAAATACAACACTTGCCTGAACAGTGACTGCTCAAATAGGTATGGATTTGAAATTGCTTAATTTATAACCATGGACTTACGGGGTCCGCGCCGACGCATGGACAGATGGCCGAGTGGTCTAAGGCGCTGTCTTCAGGTTCCCTCGCGAGCATGATCGGCAGTCTTCGGGCGTGGGTTCGAATCCCACTCTGTTCACTTTCATATTGTGCTTTTGCAGGTCGAGGGACGGGTCATGTTCCCACCACTTTTGAAGTGGAGAGAGAACAAGAAAGAAGTCTTTCAGGTGTGGGTTTCTCTTTTGGAGAGGCTTTGACTGGTTCACTACAAAGGGAGTGATGTGGGGAATATGAAGTCCTATGGAAATGGGCCCTCAGTGCATAACAATGTTTGGCCTGATCAAGCTGTCAACTACTTGCTTATATCTTGTCTAGGACCAGCAGCTGTCTTGGTGAGAATCTGCAGACCCTCAAGACATTTTTTGTCTACCATTCCCTTCCATGATATGTACCAAGTTGAAAACAAGGCAATCAATGTTTATAGCGAGTGACCGGACCAGGACAGTCATGACGTTGTGTGTAGGTGTGAAATGACGCGTACCAGCCAAGTACAGTATCGTCGATCAGCGTACCAAACCACTCTCTCTCCATTTTTGCCTCGTCACCTCACAACATGTTTCGAAACAACGTACGTTGATTTTCTGCCTCACAGACCTTCGAAAGATGGCTTGAATGGAAGGAATACGGATCATCTCGGATTGCTTGACTGAACTGACAGTCTGTTTCTACTTTTTGTAGTACGATTCTGAGTTGAGTTTGGACAAGACATCAGGGATACTGCAACGAGCTGATTTTTCGATTTTCCTGTCTCGTCTTCCAACATCGTTTCAAGCAATACCGTCTTTTCGCCTCAGGGGCGTCTTCATCAAGTCGAATATGCGCTGGAAGCCGTCAAACAAGGATCCGCATCCGTCGGCCTGAGGAACAAGACTCACGTGCTTTTACTGGCGCTAAAGGTACTGGTTCTCGCTTTCAAACCACCAATTTGAAAGATCTCGTTACTCACAACGGTTGACCTTTTGCTTGCCCCCAGCGTTCCACTGGAGAGCTGGCCTCATATCAAAAGAAGCTCATCCGAATTGACGATCACATTGGTATTGCAATCGCCGGCCTGACCAGTGACGCCCGAGTATTGTCGTGAGTCAAATCAGTTCCCAATCTTCCCCAAGCAAGTGGTCGGATAACCGACGGCGAGGACTGGAAAAGCTAACTGAATAGAATCTCATGGCGCTCGTGTGTATTCTAGAAATTTCATGAGACAGCAGTCTATGTCTTCACGCCTGCTCTACAACCGTCCGCTACCTCTGTCCCGAGCCGTCACCGCGATCGCCGATAGTCAGTGCCGAGTCATTTCTCCCCGATCGCATCTTGTTCATATCCTCGATTCTGACGTACATCATTGATCATAGAGGCTCAAGTCAACACTCAACAATACGGACGTAGGCCATACGGTGTTGGTTTTCTGGTTGGTGGACATGACGTAAGCGAGCCAGGGGGCGTCACAAACCGCCCCAGTCTCTTTGCTTAGAACGGAGGAGCTGACGGCACCCAAGCCTAACAGGAAACCGGGCCGCACCTTTATGAATTCAGCCCGTCTGGAAACTGTCTAGAGTATTTCGCTATGTCCATCGGCGCTCGATCGCAATCTGCAAAGACTTACCTCGAGAAACACTTCGAGAGCTTCTTGGAATGTCAGCTTTTTTTACAATGATCTTGCGAAAACTAGGTATCATTCTCAAATTTACCGCTTGTTGTCTCATACAGGTGACTTGGATGCGCTCATTAAACACGGCCTCCATGCGCTTCGAGATACGCTCCAACAAGATAAGGAACTCACCATCCTCAACACCTCTCTAGGGATTGTGGGCCCGGACCATAAGTTTGAGATCATCGAGGGTCAAGACCTTGCTGCATACCTTGCCTCTATGGACCCACAGGATGATCGCAATGCGCCCGCCCAGCAGCCAAGTGAAGTAGCACCAATGGAGACCGACCCTTGATCCACAAAACTTTCGTGTTGACTTTCTTCTTTTGGTAAATGTTTGCATTATACACAAAAGATCCCTCGAGCCGTTACCATACTCCTCGCTATGTGCTCCCATTTGTCTGCCTTCCTGACCCCTGACCTACTGTACCTATGCTTTCTGTTGACTCGATGCCTGAATCTGATTCAGTAGTGACTCATCTGATAGTCTCATTTTGTTCTATGCTCCTATGAGAAGATCAAAAAAAGTGTGAATGCTACCAAAGATGGCTTGAAATGCTTCAAGTTCCCCAAAATTTTAGCTGCTTGGTCATCCCTGCCCATCTTTCTGATACCATTCCGATTGTTGGAGACTTGTAGAGCCTGTCTCACTCACAGAGATGCCTTGACCCAGCCCATCCATCACTCAACAGCTCGCATTTTCCTACAAGTCAAAGGCATGTTCTCTATTACATTTATGGATCCAGTATAGACGGAGCCCTTTTTTTTTTTGATGGTCTTTGATAAATCACTGTACGTCGGGGGACTGGGCGTTTCATTGATGTATATACATGATGGTTACATCGTACCAAGGGAAACCAAGGGGTCCTCCACGCACGGAACTGGGGTGTAATGAAATTCAGGGTCATTCTGTGTGTGTGACATTCAAAATTTCATCATAAGGGTTTATTTAATCTGTCAAAAGAGTGTTCGGAATTTCTCACAAGGCAAGATAAGAAAAATTTAATAACCCCCCCCCCCCCAAAAAAAAAAAAACAAAGAAGTCTTCACATCACCTCAATACAGGAATCTCGTCACCAAAAAGAAAAAAGGAAAAGCAAATGAAAATGTGGGCGGCCGGAATCGAACCGGCATTTTCACGGTATCGTACAGGTAAGAAAACGGACCACAACGAGATTTCCTGACCATTAGAAGACGCCCACGCCATTCAAAATCGCGAATTGTTGAGCCCTTCGAGACTATCAATGTATCATGTGCTCTAGGAGCTTGGTAAGGAAATGTGATGAGATGAAAAATGGTGGAAAGACATTGAACCGGGATTGAATCTCATTTCCCGAGGCCTGACGGTAGTTAAGTTAAGAAAAGACTTATGATGAAGGATGAACATTTTAGATACAGTACAGTAGTTTTGGGAACGTTACAGAATCTGGAAACCAAGTCACGTGTTTTGTTCGTGACATGTGTAAATCTAACACTGTGGTGAACCTTAAAAAGGGGATTATGATAAAATGATTGTCAAATGAGTTTACGTACCCAAAAGGACTTGATCAGAAAAAAAGAAAAAAATAATAATAATAATAAAATAAAAAATAAAAGACAAAAGAAAATGTTACCAAGGGGTTTAAATATGTACTGAGTAAGGCTCAAAAAAAAAAGAAAAAAAAAAAAAATTGAATACTCCAACTCTTAACGGATGTTTTTTTTTTTTTTTCTTTATTCAAGAATGGTTACTTGGGCTTTAAAGATTTTAAATCTCATCAAATTGCTTTATTATAAAAAAATAAAAATAAAAAAAAGCTCTTCCATGACCCGAAAAAAAAAAAAAATTACAGTTGCTTAAAAAGTTTCCAGAAAATTTGGCATTTTTTTTTTTTTTTGAAAATGGATGCGCTAGGACCTCAAACAGTCTTGACTGTAGGTGTAAGGCTGACTACAACAAATTGGTGTAGGTTTACATTGTTTGAGCTCAACAAAAAAATCCCCAAATAATTTTTTTTTTTTTTTTTTTTTTTTTGAGTAACTTTTCCTTGGAACAAGCTATAGTAAAGTACCACCATTGGACAAGGTTCCAGACTCTGTTCCCGGAGCCCCCTTCGACATCTATTTTTCGGGGGTCTTTTCTCATTCGTGTAATCACAAGTTAAGTTTGTTAGTAACGACTTAGCGGAAGGGTAGGATGTCAAGTGGAAAGGATGAATTCGTTTGATTATTATTATTATTTTTTACTTACAGACCAATGAATGGTAGATTAACCTGATTGATGATAGAGTGGCCAAGGTAGCTCTGGGTTCGGGCATTGAAGACGACGAGGGCAGAGGAACAGGGCTGTAGTGTTTGGACAAAGACTTTACTTCCCAAAAGATCTTTGTGACCACAAGAGACGAGTCTTCTTACACCCACAATTGGTGAAGAAGATGCATAAAACTTTTGATGGAAGACTTATAAAACTCGATGGTCCTCCACATTCGGTTCTCATAATCATAACCCTCACCTGGCCATCATATCCATCGCTTGTACTACACGCCATACTCTGTCAAACTCACTCGTGCATTTTTTTTTGTACCTACCTTGATCTTGGTATTGACTTGTATAATGCGCGCGCGAAAGCACAGAGCTCGCAAATCTTAATGTCAACGGCCATGTTCCTATAGTGTCTACCTGCCAACCAGCACATCTAGCACATCTCATAGGTATTTATGCAGACGACGAGCAAGCTTGACTTGATCAACAGAAAACAGAAAGAACCTTTATCCTCTTTCTTTCCAAGTTCAGTTTAGCCTATGTTCAAGTTGACAAGCTGATTAATCTCCCCTTCCACCTCATGCTAGATATCCTAGGGGGGAAGGAAGAAAAACAAAACAATGTACAGATTTTCATCCAACGGCCCACTTCTCATACTGACTCCCATGATTCGTGCTCCGCCCTCAAATCGAAATCGATCCTCAGACCAAACCTTTGGCCACCGCCAATTCAGCATTCATCACGCTACTCGTCGCCGCTCCGATACTGACGTTGTTTGATAATACCACAAACTTGATTCCCAAAACATTACACTGGATATTATCCAAACATTTCCCATCAGTTCTATTCCATAAAACGTACTTTGGGTGAAGAACGCCTTACCTCTCGCACTCGCCCTACGTTTACCCCCGCCCCGTCCTGGAAATACCGATCGAGCCTGGGCTGAGGCCGATCGGGCTCGTCATGAACATGGATAGCTTCTGCGGGTGCAGATGGGCATCCGAGTGTCCGAGCTTCAGTCCCGAACTTTCGAAAAGCCTCCACACATTTCTCCGGCGTAGGTTTGTGACCGTCAGCAAAGCTAACAGAGACAATAGCGGTGTGACCATCCAGAACGGGTACTCGAGTTGTTGTGGCACTGACATGAATTGGACCACACTTGAGATTCTCGGGAGTACCCGCTTGACGATGATGAATCTTGGGGGGATGAGACTCAAAGGCACCAAGGATTTTGCAAAGCTCCCATTCAATTTTCTCTTCTTCACCAGAGATATACGGTACCACATTATCAAGCACGTCGAGCGATGGAACTCCCGGGTAGCCTCCACCGGAAATCGCTTGTAAGGTAGTGACGAAGACGCGATCAATCGGACCAAAGGCGAGCTCGAGCGCCTTGAAAGGTACGGCGAGGCCGGTGGTGGAGCAGTTGGCATTGGTGACAATGAAGCCTTTTGAGAGTGGCATGGACTTTTGAGTTGTAGGATGAACGTGATGAGCTCGTTGATGAGGGATGAGGTCAAGGTGAGATGGGTTGACGAGTGGGACGACCAAGGGGCACTGTTCATCTCGTCGATGATTTTTCGCATTCGAAAAGACTGCAAGTTCGTGGGCCCTGAAGCTCAATTCTTTGTGGTTCGGAGGACATTGGATTGTATCAGTCAACATTTTTGATTGAAATTTTATTTAGAATAGATAGTTTGTTTTACTAACCAATTTCACCTGCTACATCTGCATCTAATCCGCTAAAGATAATATCACAACCTTCAAAGTATTCCGGCACACACTCTTGTACAACCATCCCTCTTACAGACTCCGGGATCGGTACAGACTGTTTCCATCTCACACATTCAGAATAAGTTTTTCCAGCTGATCTTGAAGAAGCTCCAATCTTGATGAGTTTGAAAGATGGATGCTTAGACAAAAGTACAATGAACCGCTGTCCAACCGTACCTGGTTTTTTTTTTTTCAAACATATAAAAATTAAGATTCAGTTTAGCTTCAAATTCGGAGTTTTATTGTGATCTCATAAAACACCAAAAAAAAAAGAAAAAGTCTGATCACTACCAAGATAAAATGAAAGTTAATAACAAAAGACGATCCAATCATACGTATTTAAGACTTTTGATCGCAAAAGGGGAGTACACTCAACCTGTAGCTCCAAGCACGCCAACTTTTTTGAAACAATCTTTAGGGTAAGAATTAGGATCCATTGTTCTGATTGATTATATATATATATATATATATTTTCGAAAGTCAGGACAGGACGAATGGTGATTTTGATTAGTGTCGAGGTAAATTCTGGAGCCGAACAAAAAAATAAAATAAAAACAGGGTGAAAGTTCAGTTTTGACCAGCTCGGGTAAGTGTACCGATTGGGGACGGGTACTGTTACATGTTATGTCTTCCTTATGAAGGTTTACTGACTATGTATAAACATTATGCTCCCCGAGCACATGGATTGATGTGTATACCGAGTACGACCAAGTTATCAACACCTGATCAAAATTTGGTGACCAATCGTAATAAATAATCGAATCGAAAAAAAAATGTCATTTCTTCACAACTTCTGTCGACCACTATTCCGATCACTCTCTCCATTCTATCTGCCCTCAGATTTTTCACGTAAGCTTTCATGAGTCTAAACTTGAGTTTATCTTGCGGTATGACTAATTTGAGCTAAGGAAAATTTTTTTAGTGAAGCCTCAGATTCGAACAGCTACCAAGAGAGCTGGTGGTTCAACAAAGAACAATCGTGGTTCGGCTGGAAGAAGACTTGGAGTCAAGAAGTTTGGTGGTACGTAGAAGATCCCCTTTATTCCTTTTTTTTTGTTTTTTAAAAAAAAAAAGAATCTTATCATCAATCAACTTTTCAATTTTCTTATTTAACCAGGTGAGAAAGTAAACGAGGGAGAGATTATTATACGACAACGTGGTCAACGTTTTCATCCAGGTCAAGATGTTTATATAGGAAAAGATCATACCTTACACGCAAGAATACCTGGATTTGTTAAATTTTATACCGATCCTACAGGTGATGGGATTGGTTATAGAGCATTAAGCTTACGTAGACAAAGGATGAGGAAATTTGTAGGAGTGGTAAGGGAAAAGAATGAGTTGAGCTCTTAAGTTTTTTTTGACTAAGAAGTATATATATATAGAGAGAGCAAAGTTGAACTGATGAAGCCTTTTTTTTTTTTTTTTTTCCATCTGACCAAGGTTGGATTCAATCAATGTCAATTTAATGCCTTTTTTTTTTTTTTTTTTTTGGCGTTGTAGGTCTTTACCTAGAGATTTAGGATTGTTAGGACGAGCAAGATTTTTTGGTTTGACTGACTTGGCTAAACGAGAAAGAGAGTCAAAAAGTGTAGAATATCGGATTCCTGAATCTAGTTTGCTTGGACCTTTGGGAATTAAATCAGTTGACTCATGACCGTTCCCATCATCTAAGGGAGTCCTTATGGATATTTGTTGTTCATGTATTGTTGAGCTTGAGTAGATGATTGGCTTGTCCTTTGTTTGAAATGGAAGGGTATTGGTTTGAGCCGGTTTACAAACATATGCGGTTGAAGTATACTAATAGATTTAATGTACTTTTCAGAGTCCCAACTCGTCTTTTTCCTTCATAATTAGAGTCTCCAATTCAATCTGGTCTTAAAAGTACGGTCCACACCGAGGAGACAGCGCCTGATGATGGTGAGCTCTTGAATGATTTTGACTATAGTTCAGTGTGTAGGGGGTGGGATGGATGAAAGCCCATGTAGATCTTGATCAAAGGCTTTCATGTTGTGGATGATAGGAGGTCTGATGGAGTCCATTGAAAGCGACAATGGCTGCTGAGGACGAGGTGGAAGTGTGAAGAGTCTCAGTTCTTGATTTAATTGGATGAAGGTCCCTTTGTCTGCACTGCCACGGTAGATTATTATAAATCAAGCATTCGAAGGGAATTGACGAATTAATTAAG